GACGACGACGACGACGACGACGACGACGACGACGACGACGACGACGACGACGACGACGACTACACTGAATCATATTCTGGCACCAGAGATGCAAAATAAATTCATACCCCAGCTTAATTTGTTGTTCAGTCGCACAGTCGAGTCCGACTCTTCGCGACCCCATGGACCAGCTCACGCCAGGCCCTCCTGTCTTCTGCTATCCTCTGAAGTTCATTCAATTTCATGTTCGTTGCATCTATGACACTGTCTAACCATCTCATCCTTTGCCATCCCCGTCTTCTTTGACCTTCAATCTTTCCCAGCATCAGGGTCTTCTCCAGTGAGTGCTCCCTTCTCATTTGGCGGCCAAAGTATTTGAGCTTCAGTTTCATTATCTGGCCTTCCAGGGAACAGTCAGGGTTGATTTCTTTTAGGATTGACTGATTTGATCTTCTTGCAGTCCAAGGGACTCTCAAGAGTCTTCTCCAGCACCATAGTTCAAAAGAATCTATTCTTCGGCGCTCGGCTTAATACAGCTTAATACGGCCCCAGCTTAATACAGGTTCGCTAAATGGGACCATGCAAGGAATGAGTTAGTGTGAGCTCTTCAGGATACAAAATCAAAGTTGGCTTGATTTCCCCCCCCAAAAAAAACCCCAACAACTTAACTTCAGGTTACTTGGTAACGAAAGCTTCCAAAGGACAGCACAAATCTTATTCTGATAGCTTATCTGTAAAGCATGGAACTTGTAACTAATATTCAGAATCGTGGAAGCAAATGTGCAGGACCTAGGCATGTAATGATGGAGACGTAAAAGGCAAAGGTTTCAGCAGTGGCCAAAGATAGGACAGACAGACAGACAGATAGATAGATGATGATGGACAGACAGATGATGGATGGTGGATGGATGGTCACTTCAAGCAGTTTGCACAGTTGGGCTTTGAATTGTCTCTTGGCAGCTAGGCCACACTGTTTCATATGAAAAAAATAAAATATGTGCCAAAATTTAGATCAAAACTAAAGATGCAAAATTCTGGAGAGAATGTATTTGGCTTGAGTAGAGTCCTCACCCACTTTTGCCGAAATAGTGGCATCTCCTTGGTGCATTCTTCTATATTACTGTCCTTTGTCCGGCTCAGACTTTGTTCCGCTGCTTCAGAGCAACACAGCTACCCACACGAGTTCTTATTTTTGTTAGAGAACAAAGACATTGAAAAAGTATAATTTATTTTTAATTCAAAAGATAAGGTTGGTATATTGTCATATATTCTATACTTTAGAATATTTGGTATGTGTAGGTATGTGTATTTTGGTGTATTTGGTATTTTAAGAATTTCATGATGGGTTGCCTCCAATGCTCCCTCTAAGCTGTGGAGTCTTGTGAGCAAAAATTCTACTTTGTGAGCTACTGGCATTAAAGCTGTGAGCAAGGCATTTGGCTGCTGCATGAATTAGCTTGCTTTGGAGCCCTCCTTCCTGAGCTAAGACAAAAATCTGTGAGCTGGAGGCTAAAAAACTGTGAGCTAGCTCACACTAACTCAGCTTAGAGGGAACATTGGTTGCCTCCACATGGGAGACACACCATTTTTTCTCCACTAGCATTTGGACTTCAGTGTCCTTTTGTCATCAGTTTAGTTAAAACAGTCTTCCGTGGTTAACGGCATTGCTGTAAGTTCCAAAGTAAACCCCCAGATCCATCTTTGTGTCTTTCAGACAATGTTACCGGATGTTTTTAATGGCCCCTGGGGTGGAAACCAGTGCCGAGATTCTCCAGTACAAACAATTCGGAAATGCAGCTGTTCTCCAGGTTGGTTCGGTGCAGGCAAGACATCGGTTTCCCAAAAGCAGGAAAAAGAAGATAGTTTCAGGGGATGGTTAATACATTGGTCAGGGGATGGTTAATACTAAAAGAGCTTCAAGTCAGAATATATAGAGCGATCTTGTAGTGAGCCAGACAGCTGGTTGGGCTGTCCCAGGACTCTCTCTGTGGCCACCGCTCTCCAGGGCCCCAGTCCAAGGTTTTCCTCAGCTCGGCTGCCTGCGATTTTTTTAAACTGGAGATGCCTGAGATTGAACTTGGGACCCTGCTCATGCAAAGTCCAGTCCTCAGCTAGGAATTTTGAGGGTCGCCCCGGGCAATCTGCTCTTTCTCTGTGTCAGTCTTAGTTCTTCACCATCCCCTCCCAGGGTATGAGCATAACATTCCTAAGAACACCGCAGGGATCTTGCAAGGGTTGCTTCAACATTGTCTATTCAAATGTGATTTGCCTCACCTACCTCACAGGGTGTCTATTGTGGGGAGGGGAAGGGAAAGGAGATTGTAAGCTGCTCTGAGACTCCTTCGGGTATCTTCTTCTAAATACAAAGTGTTGATTATTATAACACTTGGAACAAATATTAGCTGTTCAAAAGAAAATAACACCATTGTGATCTTGCCATGCAATCTTCCTGTTTGGCCGCAATCCTCAGGACACTTCCCTGGGAGTAAGCCTCAGCTGAATAAAAAGGGACTTCATAGTAGATCTTAGGTTTGCTCCCTTTGCTCCCTTTGTAAGTAAGTGCTTCTCTCAAGAAATGAGGTTTGGTTCCTCCATGGAGGAGAACAAGGTGACAGTGGGGTGGCCGAGACCAGAGGAAGTAGAGCAGACTGCAGTTTTTCAGACTGTCAGTAAGACCAAATTTTGGGATCTTTCCCCTGTATTAAAAAAAATAAAATGCCCGGTTAGATTTACATCTGTGGTTCTTCATCCAGCAAGTGATACCATTGTGGCTTTCCTCTACCGGATTAGGTCACAAAAGCTGTGGCCATCTAAAGGTTTGCAGTTCTGCTTTCAGCTGAGTGTGGTGGTGATACCTCTAAGGTGAGGCCATGTGCCTCAATGCGCTGAATGCATGCATCCTAAATATGTTGTACATGAGCATGTGGTCCTATTTGGAGGCCTCGTTATTCTGCTGCCATCCAGGTAGCTTTTTTTAACAGATAATTTTTATTCATTTTTATAAACAGCAAAGCTCTCAATGGCTTCATACATTTCGTACAATTTGTCGGTATTATATAGTTTGAAAATCACCATAGATGCAGAGTGTTTATTACATCAGGTACTGTTTCTTTGGTAGATGTACTAGTATGGGGTACCATATACATACAATGTCATTCTGACCACCTCTAGATGAGTTTTACAAAACCTTTGCTCACATCCTAGCTGAACCATTAGCAAAGACATGCAACCACATTCTACATACTGGACATCTCCCAACATCGTGGTCACTGGCCACGGTGGTAGTCCTACCTAAACCACAAAGAGACACTACATTACCATCATCATACAGACCAATTTCCCTACTGAATGCTGATTCTAAATTATTCACCTCAACTATAGCAAAAAGGCTAAATAAAATTATAACAGACTATATCTCACAGGGTCAAGTGGGAGTCATGCCAAACAGAGACCTAATAGACAACACACACAAAGTTCTCAATATAATTGACATCGCTAAACCAACTAAAAAGGAAATGATCCTGCTTTCACTGGATATAGAGAAAGCCTTTGATATGGTAGACACCTCGTACTTAAAAGGACTTTTAACCAGAATGGGCTTTGGACAAAAATTCTTAAATGCCATCAACGCCATTTACAGAAACCCAACATCGTGCCTAAAAATAAATGGCACTCTCTGAGCATCATTTGAACTAAATAAAGGAACAAGACAGGGGTGTCCTCTTTCACTCCAGGTAGCTTTTTGGTGGAAAGGTGAGACGCTTATGGCTTCTGACTAGAAGAAGAAGAGAAGATTGGATTTATACCCTACCCTTCACTACCCAAAGGTGTCTCAGAGCGGCTTACAATCTCCTTTCCCTTCCCCTCCCCACAACAGACACCCTGTGAGGTAGGTGGGGCTGAGAGAGCTGACAGAAACTGCTCTTGAAGAAGTTGAAGAAGAAGAGATTGGATTTATACCCCGCCCTTCACTACCCAAAGGTGTCTCAGAGCAGCTTACAAACTCCTTTCCCTTCCCCCCCCCCACAACAGACACCCTGTGAGGTAGGTGGGGCTAAGAGAGCTCTTGACAGAAACTGCTCTTGAAGAAGAAGAAGAGGAGATAGGATTTATACCCCGCCCTTCACTACGCAAAGGTGTCTCAGAGCGGCTTACAAACTCCTTTCCCTTCCCCCCACCCCACAACAGACACCCTGTGAGGTAGGTGGGGCTGAGAGAGCTCTTGACAGAAACTGCTCTTTTTCAAGAACTGCTCTGAGAGAACTGTGGCTCGCCCAAGGTCATCCAGCAGGTGCAAGTGGAGGAGTGGGGAATCAAACCCGGTTCTCCCAGATTAGAGTCTGCACACTTAACCACTACACCAAACTGGCTGCAGTGTCAACTATCAAACTGGCTCTCAAACTATGCTTGTTTCGTTTCACTGGCACCATGTTTCTTATGTAAGAAATCATATTTTCTCAAAATGTTTGAGAGTTTTGCTGAGAAAAATGTGTGGCAGCCCAGACAATTGATAGCCGACTTTTAAAAATGTGGAATAGTTACTTGGCTGCCATCAACAAATAACGTATAAGCAGAACGTGAAATGGCAACTTGAGTTTTGGTAGTAAGATTCTGTTGTGTGTGTGTGTGTGTGTGTGATATCTTCTGGGGACAGTTGATGATTATTACAAAGACTGCTGTTAGCTCTAGAGTCCTGTAGCTTCTTTTCTCTGTCCTGTTGTGTCTCAAAGGTGCAAGTAGAAATCGAGAAGGGGGTGGGAAACAGATGATGCCTGTCACTCATAGTGCTGGGAGTTTCTTCCAAGTCTAAGCAGTCACCGACCTTGTATTCTGTGCTGGGCAAGATACAGGGTTGGATCCAACTGGCAATCTAGTCAAATTCCCCTCCATACTACAACCCTTGGCCAACAGAATGTTTGTCCATGCCTGCCTCATGATCCCCAGAACAGCCTTTTTGGTGATCAAGAAGATCCCCTGCCCCACTTCCCTTTTTCACCAGCAGAAAAGCTGGTTGGACCCAACCCATAGTATAGATTCTTCAGGTGTCGGTAAGACGCACAGCTGTTCAGAAGCATGTATCAGTCTTTTCAGGGCTTTTTTGTAGAAGAAGCCCAGCAGGAACTCATTAGCATAATAGGCCAAACCCCTGATAGTACAGCACATTAGCATATTAGGCCACACCCCCATGTTACCAGACGTGTGGTCATCCAGCCACACCCACCTTTTGCTTCTTATTCTGTTTACCTTGTTTGTGGTCAAAACCCAGGGCTTTTTTTGTAGCAGGAATTCCTTTGCATGTTAGGCCACATGCCCCTAATGTAGCCAATCCTAATGAGTTTCTGCTGTTGGGTGTGGCCTTTTATGCTAATGAGCTCCTGCTGGGCGTGGCCAACTCGGGAGCCGGCCAGAACTCCGTTCCTGTACGTTCCTGCCCCAAAATAGCCCTGAGTCTTTTATCCTGCTTAAATGACGTTGTTTGTTTCTCCAAAACAGGCTCTTGTCATGCAAAGGACCATTACATCGAGCAGTTCAAAGACACCCTCGCCACTTGCGTGCCAAAGAAGATTGCAGGATTTATTGCTGAGCCAATTCAAGTATGTGACTTTTCCACCAAGGGAACACAATTTATCCATGTGCTTTCACAGTGCTGAGTGGCTCACGTAACTCACCTTCCTTCAGAACAGTTGGCTTTGATGAGCTGTCTGAAAAGCTCTTCCAGCGTTCCTCCATATTTATTTTACAGGAGAAGTCTTGCCAGCAACCCCTAAATGTTGCGTTTTGATTTAAACTGAGAGCGACTTTCGCGATAGCGTCAATGCTGTTGTTCAAGTGAATTGTTCATCAGTAGATTTCAAAGGCACCCCAACCTACCCCTGTTTAAAACACAACGCAAAGCAAAGGAAGCTGCTGAGAAGATGGTATTTAATGGATTGGATCCAACCAACTTTTCTTCTGGTGAAGGAGAGAGCCCCCTTAACCACCCAAAAGAGCTGTGATGGGGATCCAGGGGCCTGGCACAGACAAAAGCCATGTAGGACAGGGATGTAGTAAGGAGAAGAACTGGGGAGGATGGAGCAGAGAAGCTGACTGGATCCAACCCAGTATCAAGAAGGATGACAAAAGAATTAAAGGATTGCTCAAGGGAGATGGAAAGAAACTGAATGAATCATAGAATCATAGAGTTGGAAGGGAACTCCAGGGTCATCTAGTCCAACCCCCTGCACAATGTAGGACAGTCACAACTAATGCCCCCCCACACCCCCAGTGACCCCGTTTCCATGCCCAGAAGATGACGAAAAACCTCCAGGATCCTTGGTCAACATGGCCTGGAGAAAAATGCCTCCTGACCCCAAAGTGGTGGCTCGCATTTCCCTGGGCGTGTAAGAAAGGGCCACGAGAACGAAGCACTGAGGCAACCCTTCCTGCCCTCCCTCTCATGACCTGCCTAAGTTCACAGAATCAGCATTGCTGTCAGATGGCCACCTAGCCTCTGTTTGAAAACCTCCAAAGAAGGGGAGCCCACCACCTCCCGAGGGAGCCTCTTCCACTGAGGAACCGCTTTAACCGTCAGGACGTTCTTCCTAACGTTTAGCTGAAAACTGTTTTGATTTTATTTCAACCCATTGGTTCTGGTCCGACCTTCTGGTGAATTCTTTGCACCTGTTTTCACTGTCTAAAATGTGGGGCACATACCCATGCTGGAGCTTCTGTTTTCAGGAAGGGTATCTGAAGAATAGAGTCAAAATGAGGTAATGACAGATGAAGTTCCGGAACTGCTAGGTAAGCTGGAAATTATAATAAGTCTCCAAGTCCAGATGTCATATGCCCGAGGGTTCTTAAGGAACTCAAATGTGAAACTGCTGTTCTATTAACCAGCTGTTACCTATTAACAAGTTGTTGCTGAAATCAGTGCTAGAGGACTGGAGAGTTGTAATTGTACAACAATTTTTCAAAAGGGCTCTAGAGGGGATTCAGGAAATTACAGGCATGTTAGCCTAAAATTTATTCCAGGTAAATTCATAGAAACAGAGAGAGGTACAAACCCGCTGAGGGAAAGTCAACATAGGCCCCTGCCACACGGGGGTGGGGGGGAAGCATGGGCAAAGTGCGCACCAAAAGAGACACGCGGCGGCGGGATCACATAGATCCCCTGAGCCGCCGCGCACTGCCTCCGCGGCACCATCAGATGCCGGGGGGGAGCCACTGAAGGAAGAGCGCGGCAGCTGAACTGCGCATGTGTGCGCATGCGCAGTTTGCCCGGTAGCCTGGATTGCTCCGGACGACGGGCGCGCCGGCGATCCCACGGCTGTGCTTGATGCAGCGTTCCAGGTAAGTCCTCCTCTGTAGGTGGTTCTTTTTTGCAGCAGGTTTTCCAGCTTTAGGGACGGATTGGGGACGGGTGCGCGAGATGTTGCGGTGAGATCGTGCCCATTTGCTGCGCCCCCGATCTGTCCCGCTCCCGGGCCAAAACCTTCCATCTGACCAGGCCCCGGGGCCATAGTTAATGCAAAGAGAAATCCTGCCTCACAAATCTTTTGGAGATCTTTGAGCCAGGTTAACAAACAGGTAGAGAAAGGTCATCCAGAAGGCACTATGTACTTAAACGTCCAAAAGGCTTTTGACAAAGTACCTCACCAAAGACTCCTGAATAAGTTTACCAGTCGTAGGGTAAGAATGTGAGTCCTCTTAATGGATTAGAAATTGGTTAATCAACAGGAAGCAGACAGGAGAGATATATGGACAGTTCTTTCAATGGAAGGAGGAGGAAGAGGAGGCGATTGGATTTATATCCCACCCTTCACTACTTGAAGAAGTCTCAGAGTGGCTTACAATCTCCTTTCCCTTCCCCTCCCAACAACAGACACCCTGTGAGGAAGGTGGGGCTGAGAGAGCTCTTCTGAGAACTGCTCTTGAGAGAACAGCTCTGAGAGAACTGTGACTGACCCAAGATCACACCAGCAGCTGCATGTGGAGGAGTGGGGAATCAAACCTGGTTCTCCCAGATTAGAGTCCACGCTCCTAACCACCACACCAAACTGGCTCTGAACAATGAGGTCTCACAAAGATTAGTATTGGGATCGATGCTATTTAATTTGTTCATAAATGAGGTGGAATTGGGGGCGAGCAGTATAGTAGCCATGCTTGGGGATGATACTAAAATATTCAGGATAGTAAGACCGATTGTGAAGAGCTCAAGGAGAACCTCTCTAAATTGGGTGAGTGGGCAACCACGTGGCCAGTGAAGTTCCATGTAGGGGAGTGTGAGGTGATTTGGCCTGGAACAATAAACCTGACTATAAATATATGCTCCTGGGGTCCGAAGTGACTGACACTGATATTGAAAGAGATCTTGGGGTTAGAGTAGAAAGTTTGAAGAAAATGACGATGACTCAGTGTGGGGTAGCTCCATGCTGGGGATCATTAGGAAAGGAATTGAAAATAAAATGACCTGTATAGATCTCTTGTGTGGTCTGATTTGGAATATGGTGTGCAATTCTGGTTGCCATATCTCAAAAAAGCATATTGCAGAACCGGTGTAACAGGCCGGATTAACCCCCCGGCCAGAGTAACCCCGGGGTTACTCTGGCCTAGCCTAGAATAACCCCGGAGGGGTTCTGAGGGGTTATTCTGGCCTAGCCTAGAGTAACCCCGGGTTAATCTGGCCATCTGTAACAGGCCAGATTAATCCCCCCCC